GTTTCTTCATACTCTACTTTATCTACGTGACATTCTGTGTGCCAAATTAATATATTTTATTCATTCTTGTGTCTCCATCATGGTCTTTAACGTCCTCTATTAAGGGTTTAGTATGTCCACTTCAGATTTAACACAGTATTTTCTAATTGCCCTCTTGTGCTCTGATTTGTGTCACGGTTATCACCTGGAAAATTTAGTCTGCAGAGAAGGGGGAGCAACATGATTGCCTTACACTATTTCTTTTGGTTACACAGAGGTATTCTAACACCCAGTGTTTTGCCAGGCAGCAGGCTCAGCACAAAAGAAACAGGCACCAACTTAAGGAAGAGATGTCATTTACTGTAGTGCAAAACTGCCAGGAATCACAAAAGGATGGCAATCTCAACAAGGCACATCATCATTACTACAAAAGATTGCATACAGTGAGATGACACACATTACATCTCCAGTTACCCCAAGACTTTACCATCCTCCAGCTCCACACATCAGCTGGGGAGCCCCTGTCACAGTGAAGGAACAGAGAGCCCCTCGTGAAGGAACAGAGAGCCCCTCGGTAACTGGGAATTACTGTGGGGTGTCCACCTGCAGGTAACAAGGCTTCCAACTGCACTGTGAGAGGGTCTTGTTCTTATATTGTTCAATAACCAAGCTGACATCACTTCTAGGGCAGGAACATCTCCTTTCTTTTTCCTCTTGGGTTCCTCCCAAAGCCTGGCCTGGCCTAAAGCAGGAACCAGGGGACTTGTCTTTGATCCAACACCCCCAAACAAGGACAGATGGCAGATTACATGGATCGTGTCCCATTTGTAAATATGGAGAGATAAATGCACGTTTCACTAATGAGCACATTCATAGATCATATTGTTAATGATGCTTCGTCAATGAGCAGATACATTTATCATATGGCTAATAAAGCTTCCCTAATGAGTGGATACACATCACTTTTGGTGGAAAGGTTCACCCACTGGGCAACTTTAGCTCAGGGCCAAATGTTCAGGCCTAAGGCAGGGCCCGTTGTTCAGGCCTCAGTAATTCACCCAGTGCCACCCCCTGTCCCCTGCCTGTCTCGAGTCACCCCCAGCTGTGGCTGCCCTGAACACAAAGGGGACACAGAGCAGGGAGGTCCAAATCAACTCCTTTATTAGCAGAGCCTGCAGGGCATGAGGCTGAAGCAGCCCTTCAGCCAGCTCTCCAGCAGGGCTTGGCCCTCGCATTGCCAGCGGGGCTGCAGCACCTGCACAGCAAAAGCCTCCATGCCTGCCTGGGCCAGAGCCAGCTGGTGCCACCTTCTCCAGAGCACGGCTCCAGTGCCACCAGCCTGCCTGGACAGCACCAGCACTGCCCCGAGGGCTGCTGTGGAAGGTGCTGGCAGGCAGGATTCTCCACATGGGGCATTCCCAAGGCTTTTGCTCAGCAGTGAGGCCAAGGGCAGGAGCAGCTCCTTGCAGGCCTGAGGGCTGCAGGGAAGGGCAGCAGCCCCAGGCACCTGAGCAGGAGCGGCTGCCCTGGACAGAGACACAACACCTCCGAGACTGGGAGTGAAAGCACTGCCTGGGCCCCAGGGCCATCGTGTCCCTGCTTTCCTGAGCCTGGAGACACAACGGCTCCTGCTGGGAGAAGGGCCTCAGTTGATCCAGGAGGCTGCAGTGAGGGAGGGAAGGATGATGCCCAAAAGCCAAGCAGCCCATCTTGCAGCCAGTGTGGAGATGACCTCAGGTCCTGCAGCTCTTTCTCAGAGCAGGACACCTCCTTGCTGCAGGAAAAATGCCTTGGGGGCACTGTCACTTCCTGTCTCACAGCACCTGATCCAAGGGGTGCTCTGAGTGCTGCCTCTGCCCTTGCCCATGGCCCTTGCTTGGCCATGAGACCGATCACTGCAAGGAGGGGCTTTGGTTTAGCTCTAGGACAAAGCAGAGGGAAATGTTTATGGCAAGAAGGCAAGAGGATTCTGACTTTCTCATCAAGCAAGGGAGTTCCTGAGTGACAGCCACATTAACACGCCTAATTTCACCAAACCTGGGAGCAGTTGGATACCATTCTCTTCATTTGGCTTGAGAGCGTCACCATTGTAACTGAATTTGTGGAGAGCCTGCTGCAAAGTTCTCCAAAACTGCAAAGTCCTTGTGTTTCTTCCTACCCATGGATGTGGCCTAACGCCTGTCCAGCTCAGCCAATGCTTCCTGCTTGGTAATTCTCTGCCATGCCTCAGGAATTTTTCCTTCAGCCTGAAATTTTCTCTTGAACAAAGCTTCCAGCTGTGCCCTGAAACGACAAACAAACCATTTCCAGTACGCCAGCATAGATGAATCAGGAAGAATGTTCCAATTGGAATAAGGAGGTCCTGCATTACGATATAATTGGTAACGAATCCATCGGCCATCATCTAATTTGAATTCCATGTCACTTGCAACAGCGCTTGAACAAATATCAATGCTAAGTCTGCGTGTATTAAAATCGAAGCCAGGAAATACCGGTATAAACAACGTGGCTCCCACTAACGCTCGTGGGCGATGGAAGACTGCTTGATGGTCTCCATCATGCCCCTGCATGGTGTTTGTGCAGACAGCCTTACAAAAGGGACACTTCTCCCAGCACCCCGAAAACTGCTCCACCAGGATGGTGTGAGGCTGCGTTGCCAACGAGCTCATATCAGCACCAGCAAATTCTTTCCTGAGCCTGTCCTTCAGGTCATCCAGAGCTTCTGCCATGGCACTGCTCAGGAACTCAGTGTCTGTGACCTCTTGGTGCTCGATGCCCTTCAGGTCACTTCTGGGCAAGTTGATCACCTCTGTCAGTTCCCTGCAAAATTCGTCTAGCCAAAGAGAGACTTTGTCCTCTCTGTCTTTTCTGTCTTTGACAATTTGGGTTGATAAAGAAACAGCTGACAGGATGTTTCCGTACAGAAGATTGAGGGAGGAACCTAAAAACTTCTCCAGTCTCCCACTCTTACCTAAACAGTAATTCGTAACTCGTGTCTCAATGTATTTCTGAAAAAATTCTTTTGGGAAAAAAATGTATTCTATGAAATACTCAAAATTTTCTTGTTCTGCCAGGTATCTCAGGATGCAAATTTCCAGATCAGCTCTGTTGCCCCTGAAATCTGGGAATTTGCCCTGCATATGCTCGGCGATGGCTTTAGACGTCCTCTCATAGACCGCCCAGCGAAGAGCTGCTTCAATCTTGTCACAAAGGAAAACAGCAAAAGTTGTGATTGAAGTGGCTCCTTGGCAGGACATCTGGAAATACTTGAAGAACTCTTCTCTCTTGCTGCTCAGGTACACAACTGGGTCATTTGCCTTTTGGAATGCTTCATGCATGGCTTTAAACCTTTCCCCTGCCATTTTGCACAGATACAGAGACAAAGCTATGCTGTACTCTCTGTTAAAAGTACATTTGGCATGGCTGGGGACAGAGTTCACACCGTTCTGTACTTCATTGAGTATTTCATGGATAAAATTTCGACTGTAATCCCGTTTCTCCTGTTCCTTCTTATCAATGTTTGCCTTGACACACGCTATGATGTTGTCTGTGATGTGCTGAAAGTTGATAGCATCATCACTGGAAATGCTCCTGGGATCTGAGGTAAAGCGAAAATTCTCTTTTTTCATGACATGTTTCTCTAAGTCGAAAGAAAATCCACTGCCTTTGGGAAATGACCTGATCCGTGCATGGAAACCTGGCTCCTTAAAGTGCTCTAGAAGGACTTCTTCGATGTCTGCATCGATATTCACCCGTTCCAGAGGACGAGCAGCACTGGAGACTTCGGCAATCCACTTGTTCCAGAGAAGAGTAAAATTATCCCTCAGTTCTCTCTCACTCAGGCTCTTCCCTTTCAGAGTCACAGCCAGCTCCCTACTCCTTCTCAGCAGCTCATCTTCATATTCCAACTTCCTTGCATCCAGTTTCCTCTGCTCCTTCTGTAGCTCTATAAGACTCTCACATTTCTTCTTCATTTCATGGAGAAGAGTCTCTTTTAGTTCTTTCAGCTTCAGCTCTGTGCCTGATTTCCACTGGATCAGTGTCTCATGGTCTTTGTCTTCACTGAAATACTTCTCCACTTCTTTCTCAATGGCATCACTTGTCTCTTGCACCAGCTTTTCAAGGTGCTCTCTGGTGACATTCTGCAAGTCCCCATTCCGAATTCGATTGTCCAGTCTCATCTGTATGTCTAAGATGTGACTCCTCAGCTTCCAGGTCCACCGACTAAAGGCACTTTCCAGTTTCCTGTACACAGCAATCTCCAGGGAATTCTTGAAGCTGAAAACAAAGTTTTCATTCAGCAAAGCATTCCAGAGGTCACCAATACGATCTTTCAGGCTCGAGAACCTCAAAATGCTGCGCTGCGACATCTTCTTGGCAGCCTGGAGGATTTTGCTCTTTAGTTGCTGGACATTCTGGCTGTAGGTGGGGTTGGGTGGTGCCATTGGGGGGTTTCCTTCCCACAG